TAGCAAGGAAGATACCTTTCACAACCATTGATGGGGGAAGAGGTCCCACCCATAATAGGATCAAGGGAACAAAATGGACAATTTTGAATACATACAATTGAAATATTTCTGCACAAACAAAATCAACACTTAGAAGGGAAGCAGTGGAGGAAAAAAAATCTTTGCATCAAATTTCTCTGATAAAGGTCTGATATCAAAGATATATAGGAAACTGGTAGAAATATGTAGGAATAAAGGCCAGTCCCTAAAGGATTTAGTATAGGTAGTTCTCAAAAGCAGAAATGCAGGCTATCAATAACAAGAGAAATGAAAATTAAAACAACTCTGAGGTTCCACATCACACCCATCAGCTTGTCAAAAGTGACAAAAAAGGGAAAATGACAATTGATTGGAGGAGCTATGAATTGATCCAACCACCTGAAAAGCAAATTGAAACTGTACCCAAAAGTCATTAGCTCCATTAAACCTATATCCCAAACAGATCAAATAAAGAGGGAAATGACCCACGTGTTCAAAAATATTCATAGCAGCTCTTTTGTTGTGGCAAAGAATTTTTTTTTCAAAGTGTGCCCTTGAATTAGGCAATAGTTGAACAAATTACAGTATGTAAATGACATAGAAAATTATTACCTCATAAAAAATGATGGAAGGGATGAATTCTGGGAAACGTGGGAAAGTTTTCATGAAACTGATTCAGAGTGAAGTAGGCAGAATCAGGAGAAGGATGTATATTGCACCATGTGTGCCCTCCGGCTCTTTGTCCCAGAACCAAACCTGCTGCATCTCCCTCCCAGGCTTCTACAAGTCCACTGAGGGGATTGGGGGAATCTCTTTTCTCTGCCATTAACTCACGCCATTGCCAGATGGTGTTCCTCCCATTTATGAGGGAGCCACTGACTAGCACCATTTAACCAAGTAATATTAGATTAGCTTTTACAAAGGTACATTTATTTCATGATGTAGCAAGAACAAACATGCGAAATTTGCCCCCATCCTTCAACACCTGAGTCACACCCTACAAGTTGTAATATAGCACTGATCCCCCCAAGTTCATATCCTTATCTGACATGACTGCTGGATAAGCCTTCACCTCAGCTTCACATCATGATGAATTGGCTATGAAACTCTAACTCCAGAATTCCAAGAGGGAGCCTCCACCCCCTTTTCTCCTTGAGATATATATACTATGCTGGATGCAAAACTGAACTCTGTGATGTTGAGATGCCTAGGAACTCTCTGGTCCTTTTGAACTCACAAAGTTGTAGGTTCCACTAGTCTCTGACCATTTCCTACCTCTTGACAGAAAGGTGATGGACTAGACATTCAGAATGAAACATTTTCAAACATGCATTTTCAGCCATGTCTAGATTTGTTTGTTTAACTATGCACATTTGTTTCAAAGGTAGGTCTTTCTTTTTTTTAATTTCCCTGTGGAGGAGAGAATTATGAGGAAAGGGAGCAATAATTATGATGCCAAAAATAAATAAATAAAAGAATATTGCTGAAACAATTAAAAACACACAGAAAAGAGTTGAGGGAATCTCATAGAGGAACACAAACAAGCTAGGCAATTTCAGAATTAACTTGTTAAATTTAAAATATGCTTTTTTAAAAAAGCTGTACAAAATGTATTTCTAGCTACACATATGTATATTTTCTAGTTTCATATGCAATTTGTGTTTTTGTTTTTTAAATGAAAATATTTTTATACTTGTCAAGTTCATAGTAATAAAAAAGAAAAAATTAAAAGATTTAAGGGCTGACTCTAGTAACTTTCACCTGAGGAATTCTTTCAAACTACTCGAATTCTCTTCACTAAAAGCCTCAAAGATTGAAAACTCAGAAAGTTCTTAATTCTTTATACTATGAAAGAAATTTTCAGGCTCAATATTCCAATACTCCTTGCAAAGTTCCAAAAGGAAAGGAAATAGCAAATATTTTGATACTAATATCCTAAATAGGAAACAAATTCAAGGAGCAAAAAAAAAATTAATATTATGTCAACATTAAGTCCCTCAGGCCACTCTTTAGCCCACTTACCTGCAATGATAAATTTACTCTGAAGTCTACTTTGGTCCAGTATGGTGCATATGGCTGAAAAAATTCTAATCACACTCAGAAGGCCCTAGCTTCTTACTCCTAAGCATGAAGAGGGATGTTAGAAGGGTAAAAATAAAATTAATATCACTAAAGGACGTTACTTCCTAACCAGGCCTTAAAAGACAATGTCCTAAGAAAACATTACTCCCTTCCATCTCCCTTGCCACATCTGTTGACTTGTTGTGCCCATTACAATCCCTATGCATTTATACAGGATCATTGCTCTCTAACTTCCCCTTAGCCTCTTAGAAAACTTGATTTCCTTTTAGGACTCAGCTGAAAAGCCAGCTTTTGCAGGAAGTCTTTTCTTCTCTCCCATCCTCCAACTCTTAATGCCTAACCCACTATGGGTATTTTCCTTCTACTCTGTATAAATCTTGCATGTACCTTTTTCTATACTTGTCTCCCACTTAAGAATATAAACCCCTTGAGGGTAGGGAGCATTTTTGCTTTTTCTTTATATACTCAGAGCTTGGTATCATGCCTAGCTCATAGTGAACAGTATCGAGAGATAGTTATCAGATACTTCAAATTGCCAGAACGCTCAGAAAATGTAAGACATCAACTAAACTTCCCCACCCCCTTAATTTAACAAATGAAGAAACTAAGGTCTAGAGATGTTTAAATGGCTTGTTCAAGTATTTCTCCTTTACCATGGTGTTTTCATTGGCATTGTTCTCAAGAGATTTATACCAACTTTTGTCCTCACTTTAATCAGATTGAGACTATATTTAAAAAGACTCACAAGGAAACCTACTGTCTCCTAAAAATCACAATTTTTTGGTATCCAGAAGACTGCTAAATACTGAAGTTCCATTTTTATGTCAAGGTTTTAGTTTTAGATTTGTTGATTCTACATTCTTCTGCGTAGTTTTTTCTCACATTATATCTTTTTTTCTGTTTTCAAAGAAGAAATACTGAATACCATGAAAGCCAGAGAGTAATGTGGAATTTTGTGTTTTACTAATTAAGTTTTGGGCCTAAATTTTAATGGCTTCTTAAACTTCATTACAGAGTCAATCATATGTTAATTTGTGTGTGTGTAGTTTTCCTTTGGCTTTAATGTTACATCTTCCGTTTTTCCAAGGTAAGCCCCACTGAAAGAGTATCTGAAAAATTGTTATGGAAAAAATACTAAAACTTGGTATTTGCATCAATCCATTTAATGAATGATCTTAAAAGACCCTTGACAATTCATGGTTAGAAATCAAACTGTAATTAACATGGGATCATTAGAATATATATTTGATTTGTGCATAAAATACTATGGAAAAGAATTATATATTCCTGAAAAGGCATGGAAAAAGTACCAGCTCCAATCATCTAATGTCAAGTGTAGTGTTAATTCATTTAGACCTCTCTGACTCTTGCTTCTAGTGCAAATGAACAAGACTGGGGATTCCAAAGCTATATTTTAAATATTCCATGATACATGGAGACAAGTTATACATTGAATGCTCAGGAAGCATGCTGATTGCAGTTTACCTGAGCTATGTGTTTGAACTTGTTTGCAACCGCTGCTAATTACTTTCATTGCTAGTATTAAACTTTTCGGCAAATCAAGTATTTAAAATTTTATCTCTGATAGAAAAAGGTGCCGAAAGTTGGAGAATATCGTAAGCAAGAGCAGTTTCTATATCCAAAAATCTTCTCATATATACAGTAGACATTCCCTGCAAAATGTCCTTTAAAAATTGGTTCCAGGAAAATGTGACAAATAGGTGAAAGAGTTACGGAGGGCAGTTAGTTTCTTAGGAATGCTGTAAATGACAGACTGCTGGGAAAGGAGATCCCCAAGTGAGGAAATGAGAAATTTACAAAGAAGTTTTCGAACTTCACAGGTTGTACTTATTTTAACTTACTAAATATGTTACTGTTTTTTATAAGAGAAAGTAACATTGCTTTAACTCCAACTTGTCCACTGCTCAATTTTTTTTGGAAAAAAAAAATCTTTAAGAAACATAACAAAAAAAGAAAAAAATTTCACCAAGACGTTTTTAAACACAATCCTTAATCACCTAATCATTCATTCCTCCTCCACCCCCTCCCCGCCCCAAGTACCCTAAACAGACACTCATAGCCTCAGCTGAGTCAGGTAAAAAATGCACTACCCAGAGAAGCACATGTCTTTCGAAAACTCGGGACCCCACCACTCCCGCTTGCTCCTATGTTGTAGCCAGTTCTCAATGAAGCAACAAAGACTCTAAACTTTTCCCAGATTTGACTAAGGGTCGGGGTAGACAGTGGTGAGAGGAAGGTTAGCCTCTTGATTAAGCTTCCAACTAATTACAGACCGTTCCCAAGTGTGGGGCACGAAGGAGAAAAAATAAGGCAGTCCAAAAGGTTGGACAGCTAGAAAGAGTGCCATGTGAGGTGAGAGTGACAACGTGCTAGTCCCAGACAGTGGAGAGATGAGGAAGGGACCTCAAATCAATTCTGAGATGAGCATGAAGGGCTTGGGTTTGGGGGCGGGAAGTATAGGTGAGGAAAAAGCAAGAGGACGCATTCAACCTGCACCCAAGGCGGAGGGGCTAGGTTGGCCCAGGACCGGCCTGGGGTCGGGGTTGGACAATCACTCCTCCCTCTCGGCTCCGGGACAGCCCCCAAAACCCTGGGGAGAAGCTTTCTCAGCAGTGGCAGATCCTCGGGGCGGGGTCCCGGGGTCCATCTGCAGTGCGCGGTGGCGGGCTACGCGGAGTGGGGGGTTGGGCCGGGGGGGGGGGAGACAGAGGAAATCAACAATCGTGCCTGCGGCGCCCGGAGCAGAAGGAAGAAGCGATCCCTGTCCCGGGCCCTGACATCTCCCCAACTTCCCAGCCTCAGCGGGCACACACCCCCGCCCACCCGGACTAACTCCGCACAGACCCTGGCCCCCCACGCCGCCCCCACGCCGCACCAACCTGGACGGCCCGGCCCCGGCGGGGCGCCAGCCCGGGACGGACACTGGACCCTCCTGGCGGCGGCGGCGGCAGCGGCGGCTGCGACGGCGGGCGGAGTTAGTTGGAGGCTCCCCTGGGCGGGGACAGGCAGAGCCCCGGGGCTGCCGCTGCTGCTGCTCGGGCTGCCGGCTTACCCGCCTTCCTCCCGGGTCCGGCTCTCCGCCTTCTCTGGACCTTCTCGGACGCTTCTGGTCCCACCCCGGAGGCGGCTTCCCGGACTCTGGGCGCAGAGGGGCCGGTGCCCCTACCCCCCCCGCCCACTCCTCTTTCCTCCTTCCCTCCCTTCCTTTCTCCCTCCTTCCCTCCCTTCCTCCTCTCCTGCCGCCCCTCCCCTCGTCCGCACTAGTAGCTACCAGGGCCAAAGAATCGCCCCGGCAGCTCTTCCCGCGGACGCTTCTCAGAGCGTGTTGATCTGGGACCCGGGACTGGCTGGAGCGAGGAATGGGGGTTCAGAGCGAGATTAAAAGCACTGGCTTCCACCCACCAGCGAACCTGCCCTTACTTCCTTGGGGGTTTCTTTGAGGGGGGGGCGCGATAAGGAAAGCAGGCTAGAGGAGCCAAGAGGGCAGAGAGTCCGGCTGTGAAACTCTAGACCCCCATGTAGGGCGGGGCAAAGCCGGGGAGTCCTCCTCCCCGCACCCCCCTGCCTCTTTGGCCTGAGAAACAAACCTGTAAGGTGACAGTCCAGGTTGCGCTTAGGAAGTGCCCAGGAAAATGCCTGTCCCTCCCCCCAGCCCCATCAGTTTGTGCTGACCATGAGGTTTAAGGAAAACACACGCAAACATTTCCCTCTGAGTTGGGTGGTGGGGGTAATAAAAGACAGCAAGTAGGTGACAGAGATCTGAGAAGCTCAAACGTAGAAGGAAATCTGAGGAAAATGAACGATCACTTCTCTCCTAAACCATTCTGTGAAAATGCCGTTTTCCAGTTCTGCTTCCCAGGTCAATTCAATTTGACTAAACAAATATTTGTTAAGCCACCTACTCAGTGCAGAGCACTGTTTGGGACTCTAATGAAATGCATAGTTTCAAGGGGGTGCATGTAGTTACGCACTTCACATTTAACCGTGCTACAACGCTAAAGGGTTTTAGGTTTTAGATTTAAGCCTAGATAACATGCAATTTTTGTTCACCGACTGAACACGAAAAAACCCAGACAAGAGCAAGGCAAGGGAAGCAAAGAATGTTATGGGTTAAAGGCAAGGTATTTGACACATTACACAAGGCAGAAGCTTGATATAGTCGTTTTAGGACCATTAGAAACAATTAGATACCTGTCTTAGAGGTGGACAGGAAAATGTTTTACCATTGTTTGCTATTACAAGTGACAATTTTAGTGCTTATTACTCACCTATCTATTCCCCCCCCCCATTTCCCTTTTCTCCTTCTATTTCTCATTTCCTCACTTGGGGATCTCCTTTCCCAGCAGTCTGTCATTAGAATGTGAATTCCTCAAAGACAGGAACTGTTTTTTGCTGTTCTTTGTAATCTCTAGTGTTTAGCACAGCTCCTGACACATGGACTGGATATCCCAGTACATAGTGAGAAGGATAGGGATAAATGCAGATCAATTTAGATAGCCTTAAATTCCGATTCAATATGAAGATTCCAAGTACTTCGCTGGTTATAAGAAGCTCTGACAAGATGCAAGTGCAACATTGAGGAACTGCAGCTAAGCCTGCAGGAGCCTGGGGTACTGTACACAATTCTGTTTTGAACTCAGATGTGGGTTCAGTCTTGCTAAGGCTAGCCTCCAGCAAAAGAGAACTCTGCTTCCTCTACTCGCCCTCCTTCAACACTTACCCAGGTGCTATAGGGCCCATTATAAAAGGTTATGGGATTCTCTCCAAAGGCAATCCGATGAATATGAATATGGTATAGGACAGGTAATTTATTCTTTTACACAAATGGAGACATAAAAGACACAGCAAGTCAATGATAAAAAGATTTAAAACAATTTAGTAACAACTTGCAATTACTGTTACATTCTACTAGGAAGCTGATAATTGAACTTCATCAGAAAATGAAGCAGTTTGCAGAACTATTGATTAAACATTTTACATTTCACTTCAGCTCTACACTGACCAAACAACTCCAGGTACATCTGCCAGTAAAATGACCAGGCTTAGTGAGGATCTCTTGTCAATGGCCACCATTTCCAAGATTACTAGAGTAGCTGCCTGGGGATGCCTCCTCTGCCTCCATTCATCTTTGACTTGTTGGAACCTGGGACAAATGGAACTCTCACAAGGTTACCTCCAAGCTTGGAAAGGTCCATCTAGGGTTAGATGCTCATTTACCTAAGATCAGGAAGAACAAACATAAAAGAAGCAGTCAACTCAGTCTCAGGCTTGCTTTGGCAGGATATATGCTTTAGATGCCACATATATATGGCCACACAAAGGCCTGGTTGGAGGGAGGAGGAGGCAATCCAGCCTTTCCTCCACCTTGTTTCCTGAGGGATCAACTCAAAGCAGTCTGACATTATTTGTAGCTGATAAGGAAGAGAGAGGCTGAGGAGGTAGATGGTCATTCTTTTTTGACTCATCTCTTCCCGCATTGTAACCACTAAGGTGCATACTCTGAGTCACACATGGCCAGAAGCAAGACATAAAATTTCCTATTTGGCTGACTGAAACCAGGAATGGCATATCTGAATATTCGTAATAAAATGGCCCCTTTTGGCCAATTCTATGGCCTTCCTATACTAGACACAGATTAAGGTTGCAATGGTATTAAGTAGTTTGTGAAAACTGCACACATGAACTGAGAATATTAGCCTTAATCCTGTAACCTTTTTTTTTTATTTTTAAGGGCTTTAGCAATACAAATAGAAGAAGCAAAAACAGGAAATCCCTCTTAAAACACCATGCTTGTTGGTCTATTTCCAAAGATGATTAGGGGAAAATGAAAAGAACCAATATGTTCTAAAATATTTATAGCAGATCTCTTTGTGGTAGCAAAGAACTAGAAATTGCAGTGATGCCCATCAACTGGGGAATGGCTGAACAAGTTATGGTACATGGTTGTGATAGGTTACTACCATACTATAAGAAATGATGAGCTCAATGATTTTAGAAAAATATGGAAAGACTTGTATGAAATAATAGAGTGAAATGAGCAGAACCAAAAGAACATTTTCTATAGTAACAACAATATTGTTTTAAGAACAGCTTTGAGTAGCTAAGTTATTTTGTCTATTATAAATACCCAAATTAACTATAAAGGACATATGAAGAAAAAATGATATCTGAAGCTAGAGAAAGAACTGATAAATATAAGTATGCATAGAAAAATTTTACATACACATATACTTATTTGTGTCTAATAATAGCCATCTCTAGGGTGAGGTGGGGGGGAGGGAAGAAAAAAATTTACAGCATAATTTTGTTGTATAGTTAAAAGGAATAGCAAGTTCTGCATAGTAGATTTGCAGTTTCATGTGTGATCATCTTTTTAATTGTACTATGATATGGAAATGTTTGTTTTATTGCATAAATTAAAAAAAACAAACAAGGGGCAGCTAGGTGGCACAGTGGATAGAGCTCTGGCCTTGGAAACAGGAGGACCTGAGTTCAAATGTGGCCTCAGACACTTGACACTTACTAGCTGTGTGACCCTGGGCAAGTCACTTAAACCCAATTGCCTCACCAAAAAGCAAAACAAAAAAAAACCATGCCTAATAAAAGAGAAGGAATTTGAAATAAGAAAAGTGGAATATTTGGCTTCTGGAAAATCTTTACTATCTTTTAAGATCAGCGAGTGAAAAAGCAATGTGTGGCACCAAAACATTTCTTCTGTACGACTAGCTAACTACGATTTTCTGCAGTCATGCTGGAATACATGGGACCAATTCTTAGGATAAACTCATAGTTCTTTATGGACCTTGGAGAGGTGAGTAAAGCTACTTAAAGTATGTTTTCATTCTGTTGACCTCTGCAGTAGGCAGGGCTCCATACTCAGCAGGGCTATGTAAGACAGCTGCTCCCCTGGAGACCCAGCATGTCAGTGCCACCAGCCAAAGTGGTAGTGGCAGCTGCCTAGATTGTTGTAGCTGTAAGGTATGGGGGCAGGGAGAAGCATGATGTGCCAGCCATTCAGCGCATGATGGAGGAGAAAGGCACCTTTTTCCTTTCATCATGGACTCTACCCCACTTTTGGTTGCCCCAGTATTTTAGATAAAGCTTATTGTATTTAAAAATGTAAAAAAGAAATCTTAGTTCAAGGACAGGACAAAACAAAGTCCTGGAAAGATTTGGGCCTGGAGCTGTAGGGTGCTGACCCCTGCTTTAGAAGACTGCAAACTTGCCAAACAGTACAACACTTAAAGGGTACTATTCTATCTAAACCAGGGATGGGGAACCTGCAGCCTCAAGGCCACATGCGGCCCTCTAGGTCCTCAAGTGCAGCCCTTTGACTGAATCCAAACTTCACGTAGCAAATCTATTTATTAATGGGACTGATAGGTTTTTAAAATAATTTAATAATTTATTTATAATTAATGTTTATAATGCATTATAATTATTAATTATAACATGTAATTATATTAAATAATTAAGATTTAATAAATTAATTTATTATTAATAAAAGGATTTGTTCTGTGAAGTTTGAATTCAGTCAAAGGGCCTCACTTGAGGAACTAGAGGGCCACATCTGGCCCCAGGCTACAAGTTCCCTACCCCTGGTCTAAACCATATTAATTTATTTTCAGATTCCTTTCAAAGGTGCCATCAATCAAAGGTACAATCAAAACCTAGTGTCCCAGATTTTACTTTTGAATAGATTGAATCCAAAATGAATTAGGAAATCTTTTATTTCCAGTACAGCACAGATGGCTAAACTAAGTAAAGTTCAAAGGTCTAGAATGGGTCTTTTTCTTCTCACTAATGGAAAATGATCAGAAATTTAAAGCAAATTTATATAACTTGTGAATAAAAAAACCACTAATCACTGAATTTTATAATGCAGATTTACTAACCAGTCAGTTTAATTACATAAAGTGCTTCAGTCTTGTTATCAGAAGTAGCCAAGCTGCTGACTCAAGAATAATTGGTGCTTATTTGCATGTTATTTTTCATGGAATTGGAACAGTCATTAAATATCCCAGTACTCAGAACTATCCCTATCAACAGTTTCTTCTTGTTTTACTTTCCTTTCCCCCTTCCCATCAACCTCTACTTTCTCCTACTTCCCTGATATGATGGAATGACTCCCCAAGCTGTCCTCTGCTGAGATGAAATCAGGAAGAAC